TTTGCACATGTACTGCATTGCTTTTTATGTAATTCCATACATTTACTTTTATAGCCCCTCCCAAATTTTACTTGCATTCCTGTTCTCTAAAGGGGCGGTCCTAGGGTTTGATGAGGGCGTGGCCAGGTTTGGGTGGGGGCGTGGCCAGGGGAGGGAGGTGAGTTCCACCACCTTTTCTCTGAGAAAAAAAGCCCTGTTTTAATGTATGCTGATTAGTGTACATTTAAAGTGATATTCTATTCTATTCTATTCTATTCTATTCTATTCTATTCTATTCTATTCTATTCTATTCTATTCTATTCTATTCTGCAATTAGAAATCCAGGCTGATTGCTGAGTGCCTAGATTGCAATCATGTGACTGCAGGGACACTGCAACAGATGGAACTTTAAGGACCAGTCATAGATACCACTTCTTCAGCGCTGTTGCCAATTCAAATGGTCCCTGAACAAGTGGTTGTTAAATGAGAATTTTGATAAATGAGAGATGAGAAGCTAAAGGCTTCCTTTCCTCATCCCCTATATCCTTGGTGACCTCCTCAGGTGCAACAGCAACGTGGAACTCTGGAGGAAAGAGCAAAGGAGAAAGCTAACCTGGAGGAGGCATTGAGATGTAGCAATGAAGAGTGCAGTAAGCAGGTAAACTTCATGTCTTGGAACTCATGCTTGTTCTAATGTTAAGTAGGATTTCTGTCCTTTCTCTAAGGACCTTGAGGTGGAATACAGGATTAAATCCATGTATCCATAAAGCATATGAAAAGACATAATAAAACACTAAATATTAAATAACCTGGTTGATACCAAATCACCTATATAAAAACAGGGAATTGCGCAGCCGATGTCCAAATGGAGTCAGAGACACTGACAAGAACTTGTAGTTTTTATATAAATAAATATATTTACAGTAAATAAGAGAGGCCAACAGGAGCATAGTCAGGTAAATCAACACAGCAGGAACATCATGAGGTAAATCACAGAGAGCACACAGGGCATACAGAGGAAAAAAGGCGAGAAACAAGGAAACTCCCCCTTTACTCACAGCAACCAATCACATCTCAGATTCCCTCATGCAGTGGCCAGCTTTAACCAATTAGCTATAACTCTGTGTTCTTACTCATTGTCCAACCCTTCACTGCTCCAGCTATTACATTTTAAATACCTTAACAAACACTAGTAACTTCATAGAAACATCCACTTAGAAATAATTTGCCATTGTTTTCTACTGGAATATTTTATTTCCTAGATTGGCCTATCATTCCTTAAATTTTCTGGAGGTCTCCAAGTAGTAACCAGACCTGGCCAGTATCCAGGCCAGGACAAGTTCTTTCAAATGTTGTCATTTTCTGGAACTCTATCGATAGTGTAGTTAAAAATAAATATTCAGAATCTATAAGAAGATAAAAGGGTCTGCCTGGTATTTGAAAAATAATTGTATGGGTGGTAGAGAGGATCCAAGATTATTCATCTGAGGTTTTGGGTAAAAATCTCTCAAGGATGATGTAGATTTCTAGGCAGATGCATATGTGGAAGGAAGCATTCCTTGAGTTTCTATAGCACCAGTCTATATAGATCTTTAAATATCAAAACCAACTGGCTGAACTGAATGCAGATAAAGCTAAGCGATAAGATATTGGGTGAACGTAGCCCCTAAGCTATACATTACAGCCTGTAAGGCTTAGTTTACACCAGATGTTAAGCCAAAATCAAGGAAGCCACATTACGGCATATTGCATTCTGCATAATTAGTCACAGACTTGCTAAAGATAACATGAAAACCATAGGCAGTGTGGTGATTTTAACCTGACACATTTCACTCGTAGGGCAGCATCTTAACCAATGTGCATTGCTAGCTCATGCACAGAATACAAACTTCAGTTTCCAGAAATCAGATTTTCCCCTTTTCTCATTTTTTTCTGAGTAGGTTCAGGTTCTTTTGGCTCAGATCCAGACATCAGAGAACCTTCTCCAAAGCCTCCAAGCCACTGTGAGTGAAACGCAGCGGCAGACTCAAGAGCAGATTGTGAGTATAGTAGATGGGTGACAGTGTTGGAAGTGAAGCAAAGGATAACAGAAGAATCAGAAGAGAAGCCTGGAAAAAATGATCCTGCTATGATGTGCTCAATTTGGGATCTTTAGAACTCAGACTTTAGGTAGGAGGAGTTCCAAGGCTATTGACTTGTTAATTTAAAAGCTATCTGGCCTTCTGCAGTAGAGGTTGAGAAAATAAGGTGGGAAATGAATTGCCTATCTGTGATGAGTAGAGCCTCAGTAGAGGACTGTCGTCCAGATGCAACTATACAATATACCACTGGGGACTTGAGGACAGAAGAAAACCTGTGTGTGGCACTTCTGATTTTTCAACGAAGAGTTGCAAGTGCAAGTTGTTGCCAGGACATTCAATGTTTTCCTACTAGGGATGAGGAGTTTGTGTATTTATTGTAAAATGTCTTGAATAGAGTTTTCTCCTAGAAAGATGGCACATATATTCCTTTCTCCAAATGTACCAACAGTCCTTCCATAGTCCTCAACTTATGACCATAATTGATCCCATTTCCATTGCTAAGCAAGACAGTTAAGTCAGTTGCTTCCCATTTTACATCCTTTTTGCCAGTTGTTAAGTGAATCACTGCAGTTGTTAAGTGACTCATGTGGTTGTTAAGCGAATGTGGCTTCCCCCATTTACTTTTATCAGAAGGTCGCAAAAGGTGATCGTGTGAGTCTGAGATAGTGCAACTATCATAAATATATACCAGTTGCCAAGTGCCTGAATTTTGATCACATGATCACGGGGATGCTGCAATGGTCATAAGTGTGAAACAAGTCACTTTTTTTAGTACTGTTTTAACTTTGAATGGTTGCTAAACAAATGGTTGTAAATTGAAGACTACCTGTATATCTTGTCCACTGTAGATTTGACCATTCCAGACCTTTCCTCACTTATAAACTCTGTGCCTTCTCTTCTGAATAAGTGTTTTTCAGAGGCTCTCATGTAGAATCCTTAAAATCCTCTCTTGGAGACATCAGTGGAAGGATATTTATTGGTTGCTGTCTGTCCCTCCCTCCCCTTGCGGTTCTCTTCCAGGCTGATTTGGCTGCATCCCACAAGCGCCTCAGCTACGAAGTGCAGCGTCTCAATGCCGAGAATGAAGGGCTGCGGGGGATGAGTTCCCAGAATCCTCTCCCAACAGATGATGAAACTAGGAGCTTGCCCAGCACGGTGCCGGTACCTAGACTCCAACTTCTGCTGATATTGAGGTTGAGGAATGAGATTTGCTGCAGTTGTACAGATTGAATTTCACTGTTAATAAAACAGATTTCTTTCTCTCTTTTTCCTTCCCCAGGAGCTGCAAGCCATGGTGTCCAAGCTGAGACAAGAGTCTGCTTTACAACTTCGGGCTGCAGAGCATCAGGCTGAGCGCCTGAGAATTGAAATTATATCCTTGCAGGAGCGGCTGGATGAAGAAGCAGCATCTCAGTCAAGTCTGCAGGGGGCGCTGGAGAGAGAGCGGGAAGAAAGAGGTGGGCAGGGGAAAGTAAAGAGTGATGGTGATCCTGATTGTACAGATAGGAATGAATCTCTAGAATTGGCAAGTGCTAATTTTTTAAAAATCAGTTCCTCTGCATTTAGAAACTTGATATGAGGAATTCTCTTTAGCATTAACAACTTCTCCTTTTTGTTTCCTTTTCTTCCGCTGCTTCTGACTGAAAGAGCTTTTGCAAGGTAAGATGCTCTCAATCTGTATGGTCCATATATTTCCATTGTACCATTAATGCATGTTCACGAACTGGACTTCTTGTCTTGCTTTCCAGCCTCTTTGAATAGTATTCAGAGTGAGATGGAAAGGCTGCAGCAAGGTCAAGAAGAGCTGAATAGAATTCAGGTATGCTTGAATTTCTACCCAGGAATCTTCACTTCTCAAAACTTGATTCCATTGTATTTTTTTCAGTCTGGTGTCCTTGCAGGGCCTGAATTCTCAGAAATTTCACAAATCTTGCAATGTTTGATACAATGTCAGGGAATTCTGGGACTTCAAATTCTAACCTATTTGGAAGCCATCACATTGGGAAAAAGTATGTATTTCTGCCCTGCCATACCTTGCAATTTCACATCATAAAGCAATTTGCTCCTCCTATAATTATTTTATTTATATAATTAATTTTATAATTTTAGTGAACACATGACTTTCTCATTGAGTTTCGATAAACATTAGCAATTGGGCCTGCAGAAAAACCTACTGCACTGGATTATTGACTCGTGGGTTCCTTACTTGTGTAAGATTGGTTTAAATAAATTTTATTTATTTATTTATTTATTTAATTTATATACCGCCCTATCTCCCTTACGGGACTCAGGGCGGTGAACAGGCGATACTAAAAACCACAATAATAAATAAATAGTTTCTGTTCTAAAATCAAATTAAATAACAGGCCTGTTCTAAAAACACCCCATACAAAACCCCCACTAAAACATAATCAAACTACGCCAGGCCGGCCGCACGGAATAGATGGGCCTTC